ATTAATATCACATGCAAAGAAAATTTTGCTGAAGATAATTCAAAAGTAACTGCAATAGTACATTGACCGGGAACTGCCAGAGGTTCAAGCCGGATTTAGATAAGGACATGGAACAAGGGATATCATTGCTGACATCAGATGGATTTTTATTGAATGCAGAGAATGCAATAAAGATGTTTGCCTGTGCTTTATTGACTATACAAAAGCGTTTTTGACTGTGTGGATCATGACAAGCAATGGGTAACATTGAGGAGAATGAATATCCTGGAACACTTAATTAATTAATGAGGAACCTGTACATATACCAAGGAGCACTTAATTAATTAATGAGGCACCCGTACATATACCAAGAGGCAGTCATTCAAACAGATCAAAGGGATACTGAATGGTTTAAAATCAGGAAAGTTGTGTGCCAGGGTTGTATTCTCTCACTACACTTATTCAATCTGTATGCTGAGCAAATAATCCAAGAAGCTTGATTATATGAAAAAGAATGTGGCATCAGAATTGGAGAAAGACCACCTATGATATGCAAATGATACAACCTTGCTTGCTGAAAGCAAAGGGGACTTAAAATACTGATGAAGATTAAATACTACTGCCTTTAGTATGTAAAGAAGACAAAAACCCTCACACTGGAACAATAAATAACTTCATGATAAATGGAGAAAAGATTGAAGTTGTCAAAGAGTTTATTTTGCTTAGATTCACAATGAACACTTATGGAAGCAGCAGTCAAGAAATCAAACAATGTATTGCATTGTGCAAATCAGCTGCACAAGACCTCTTTAAAGTGGTCAAGAGCAAAGATGTCAGTCTGAGGACTAAGATGCACCTGACCAAGCCATGGTATTTTCATTTGCCTCATCTACATGTGAAAGTTGGACAACGAATAAGGAGGACTGTAGACAAATTGATGCATTTGAGTTATGGCTGGAGAAGAATATTGAAAGAGGGATTCCATGCACTAATTAGTTAGATGCTGAACCTGCCTTCTTGCAGGTGGGGTGGCATCAATACCACCTAAACTGTGGCAATGGGGAGTGGGAAAGGAATGATTCCCAGAGGAAATCTGGGAAATGCTTTTACCATAAGAAAAGTAAAGGAGGTATAAATGCTGAATGTAAAAAGAATAGATGTCCATCTAGAGTGAATGTAGAGCAACTTTTGAGGAGAGTGTAAGTGGGAACCCAGCAAGGTAGAAGGGATGGAAAATATAGGTGCCCAAGGCCTCCTTCATCTCATCAGCTGGGGTCAGTCCTGCTCTGGTAGGACCTATAGGCATGCCCCTTCCCTGAGGATCCTGTTAGCCTGGGTGAACAACTTATGGCCTCACCCATGCCCAGCTGTGCTTCCCAACCCTGTTACAGACTGACTACCTGCAGCTCTCCTCTGTTCTCTTCTGCTTTGTCTATCTGACCTTTATCTTTCGTGGCCTACCTTTTTTCCCTTCTGTGCTCCGAATCACAGTTCTTGTGTGGTAGGGTGGAAAGATTCTCATTATTTTAGCCTAGGGACAACAAATTTGTTTCTCTGTTCCTTCTCCCTCCCCCTTCCCACTTTGAGTCTCAACCAAGCAGATTCCTAAGTCTTGGCAAATGATTCATGGGAAATTGCTGTTGGAGGGTCCTAAATATTTGCTCTTAGCCAGGCAGAACCGTGTGGCCCTCCTATATTGAGATTAACCAAATTGACAAATTGAGCAGTGGTTTTTGATCTTTGTAGAGTTATACAATTTTTGGAGAATCTAATGGGAGACCTGCCTGCTCCAGTATGGCAGCCACTAGCCACATGTATGGCACTGTAGGATAAGCACTGGACTGCTAAACACCCCAGCCTCTCCTTGGAAACCCTATACTGGGCTGCTGTGAGTTGGAATTGACTCAATAGCACTTAACAACAACAGCCACATGTGACTAGTGAGAACTTGAACTATAGCTCATCTGAACTGAGATGTATTGTGAACATAAAACACACAGTAAATTTGAAGACAGTATTAAAATATATCAATACATTTATATTGATTGATAAAATCTTGACTGTATGCAATTAAATAAGATACATTACTTAATTTTATAAGTATATATTGTTATGGAATATAATAATCAAATAAGCACTAAAATATGTTTCACTTATAGTTGACTTTTTAAGTGTGGCTACTGAAAAATTTAATATGACATATCTGGTTTCATCCTATGTTTTAATTGGACAGTGCTGTTCTGGACCCTTTTCTCAGAAATATTTCCAAAAAAAGGAACTTTGCCTATAATATCAGGGACTGTGGCACTGCCATAAATCTAATCCATGGACCCTAGTCCCAAATTTAGAATCTCTGAGCCAGGAATTTTATGTTTTTCCCCAGGCCCAGCATCTACCACATCATCAGTAGATATATGGGGAAACTGAGGGCTAAGTCTTCCTCCCAGCCTGGCCAGCTGAGCCCAAGGTTCCTATCTCTGAGGGTTAGAGCTTCCGCTGTCATGCTGTTGTGGAGGCCTGGAGCTAGGGGTCACTAAGTAGGGGGCGGGGCTGCCATTCCACCTCTTTGGGTCTCCTAAGAGCTGCCCGCAACAGTTCAGGGAGAAGGTGCTAATTCACATCCTTTTGTCATGACTCCTGAGGTTCAGGACTGCTCTGGGTCTGACCCAGACCAACAAAGTCACCAGTAGTCCTGGTGGTTGATGCCAGGTTTCCAATTCAGAGAGGTTCGAGTGTAAACTGAGCTTTGCCACTCACCATTAGTTGACTTTGTACACTGATGTATTTATGACCTACTTTGTAATAAGTTAAGGAGCTCTGATGGGCAGTTCAAACCCACCAGCCACTCTGAGGTAGAACGATGAGACTGTTCTTGTAAAGATCTATAGTCTCAGAAACCCTATGTAGGGTGGCTATGGTTTAGAATCAACTTCATGGCATTAAGTTTGGTTGTGGTGGTTGGTGTTGCTGTCACTTTTTTGTAATAAGTTATTCTTACATTTACTGTTCAATTTAACATAAATTTGGTTCATGCAAATTAGGAATTTTCCTGTTCATTTATTTTTCATTTGTTCACAGACCACATCATTAATTTTATTTTTTGGCCAATTCTGTAATATGATGTTTTAGATCCATTTGTAATAAGTTAACATTAATACAGTTTCTTCAAGAGCAAAGATGTCAGTTTGAGGGCTGAGGTGCGCCTGACCCAAGCCATGGTATTTTCAGTAACCTCATATGCATGTGAAAGTTGCACAATTAAAAGGAAGACTATAGAAGAATTAATGCATTTGAGTTATGGTGTTGGAGAAGAATATTTAAAGTACCATGGACTTCCAAAATAACAACCCAATCTGTGTTGGAAGAAATATAGCCAGAATGCTCCTTAGAAGTCAGGATGGCAAGACTTCATCTGTCATAGGTCAAACATCTTATCAGGAGGGACCAGTCCCAGGATGAGGACATCAGGCTTGGTAAAGTGGAGGGTCAGTAAAAAAAAGGGGAGAACCTCAATAAGACGGATTGACAATGGGTTTAAGTGTAGCAATAATTGTGAGGTTGGTATAGGACCATGGGCCATGCTGTGTTTTGTTCTGCTGTGTATAAGAGGCTATGAGTTGGAACCAACTTGACGGCAGGTAAAAACAACAACAAAAATATAGGTTCATTTGCCTTGCAAAACAGGCCATTATTGTTCAATTAGCTAGTGAGTTTATGTCATCTTAAGGAGCCCTGGTACTGTACATGTTGGGCTGCTAACTGCAAGGTCAGCATTTTGAATTCACCACCAGCTCTTCAGAAGAAAGATGAGACTTTCTGCTCTTATAAGGAATTTACAGCCTAGGAAACACCTATATAGGGTTGCTATGAATCAAATCGACTTGATGGCAGGTTTTTTTTTTTAATGCCATCTGAAGAGAGTAGTTAATACTATTGAGCACATTGAATAGCTTTAGCAGTTAGGTGCCATCACATAATGTTGTTCTACAGAATTGTAACTCTAAAAGTTACCTGATTGGTACCTTTTACCTTTATCTCAAAGCTTGCCATTTGATTCTAATAGAACTCCTCTGAACTCCTAGGGAAGTTCCTGGGTGGTGCAAACGGAAAGGCTGGAGGTTTGCGTCCACAAAGAGGCAACTCAGAATAAAAGTCTGGCAATCTACTGAAAAGGCAGTCACAGTAAACCCCATGGAGCACAGCTCTACTCTGACATACAAGGCTGTCATGAGTTGAAATCTATGCAAAATTGCAACTGGCTTAAGCTCCTGTTGTTGCTGTTAAGTGTCATCCAGTCGGTTCTGACTCATAGTGACTCTGTATAAGGTTTCTGAGGCTTTAAATCTTTGAGGAAGCAGAAAGCCTCATCTCTCTTCCACGGAGCAGCTAGTGGGCTCAAACCATGGACTTTGTGGTTTGCAGTCTTGTGCTTATCATGTGGAGGACCAGCGGAACCCGAAGGTTTGAGGGTAGAGTTGAGGGTGAGGGACCTCGAGTCTGAGCACTATCCAGACCCTTTAGCAACTCTCAGAAGCACGAGGCCCATCCCTTTGAATGCCCGTAGTACCGTCACCCAGACTCAGCAGCACTTTGGTCTGGTCCCAGGTATATGGGCCTCCTTCTCTCAGTGCTGGTGGTGCTCAGGCTGGGGCTGAGCTGCCAGTGTTTCATCACCTCTGTCCTCCCCAATCCTCTGCCTTCACCACAGGGGAACCAGTTTTCTGACTGTTCAGGGACTGTCTTCCTCCACTTGGCTGCAACTTCTGCTCTCACATTCCAGATCTGGAAGGGGTGCTCCACCTGTGGGTCCTGGAGAACAGCCAGATGTTTCTGGAGATGCTGGCTGACCCAGAGGAGAGGAGGTGCTGAGCTGAGGAAGTGACCTGGGGGTGGAGCCCTAATCCGTTTATAGGCGAGTAGAGACACACTCAGTCCCATTTCATAGGGATAGTCGCTGCCACCCAGCCAGGAACAGCCTTTCTTGGTGGAGGCTGAGCCTGGAGTGGAGCAGAAGGGTTGGCATGGAGAACCTGTCACCTAGGAAACCAGCTGGCCATCCTCATCAGGTAATAGTATTTGTTAATATGGGCACCAGTCATGGGAGGGCCTGGGGCCAGGGTGCATCCTGAAAAGTTTGGCACAACTGAAATCAGAGTGATTCTGGTTTCTGGAGAGGGCTTAGGTCCCATCCAGCAAGGCAGAGACAGAGGATGGGAGCCAGAGGGTAAGGATGTGAATGCTTGGGGATATGGAGTGGGTGGAAATAGATGAGTGGGATCACAGGTTTGGCCAGTCACAATCTCCTCCCTCCCCATGAATCTTAGAGTTCCCTCCATACAGACACATGCTCACACACTCCTATCAGCAAACAGGTGGCTGTGTGTCACAGAAGGACACCACCAGATTTATAGCCCACTACTACGGGACCGTAGACTCCCTGGAACTGGCTTGAGCCAAGAAATTACCCTGTGTATCTCAGAAGCTGTATAAGACCAATTTCTACCCAAGACTAATGCTTTACTGGACTTTAGTGCCCTTGGGAGAAAAGAATCATATTAGTTAATATGTTAATTTGTTTAATACTCCTAGTCGTTAAAAACAAATCTATGAAATTCTAGTGTCAAGATATTCTCAGGATAGTAGGGGGAAAGTTGCACACTTTTACAAAGAAACAAACTCACAGGGGTTGTGAGTTCTGGCCCTGGACACTTGGGTGTGACTCTGTCACTTACTAAGGTTAAGCTACTTAGCCTTTCTGTGCCTCAATTCCCTCATCTGTAAAATGGGAGAAATGAGAGGTCTACCTTATGAGGTTGTTGGAAGGGCAAATCAGGTTAGAAGATGTCATATGCTTAGTACAGCAGCTAAAAAACTAGTAAGCACTCACTAAATAATAAGTGCAATTGCTTAGGTGCTGTTTATTTTTTTGCTGAGCATTCTCCTAAGCATTCAGCAGATACTAAGATTTTTAGTCTTAGAACTCTCTTTAAAGTCAATACTATGATTATTTCCATTATAGATAAGGAAACAAAAATACAGAGAAGTTAAGTAACTTGCCCAAGGCCACACACAAGTAAGCCTCAAGACCAGGGTTTCAAGACAATCTGGCTCTGAATTTTGCTTCTTGTCATTACACCTGCTGTCTCCTAATAGAGACTAGTCATTGGAATGATCACCACAACCCATCCTTGGGTGCTCTGTTAGGAGTGGTCTTAAAGATGAAGAGAACTGGGGTTTCCCCTTAGGAAAAAAATACCCTGCCAAAGAACTGGACTTTCTGAAGAGGGGCTGAGAGATGGTGGGAGAAATGGGCAGCCACGCTTGCAAGGAGGATAATGACTGCTTGTTGTGTAGAGCTGTGGAGTCAGTTCCGACTCATGGTGGTGGTTATGTGCTGTGGAATCGGAACCGACCCATTGCAACCCTGTACAGGGTTTCCGAGGCTGTAAATCTTTACGGGAGCAGAAAGCCTCATCTTTCTCCCATGGAACAGCTGGTAGTTTCGAACTGCTGACCTTGCGGTTCGCAACCCGATTCGTAACCACTACGCTACCAGAGCTCCAACTTATAGTGATCCTGTATAGATTTTCTAAGGAATGGCTGGTGAGTTTGAACTGTCAACCTTGCGGTTCAAATCGATCTTATTGTCAGATGCTTATCCTACAGAGCCACACCTGGGCTCCTAATGACTTGTTGTTGTTGTTAAATGCCATGGAACCGGTTCCAACTCATAGTGATCCTCTATAGGATTTCCGAGGAGCAGCTGGTGAATTTGAACCACCAACCTTGCAGTTCAAGCTGACCTTGCAGTCCAGCGCCTTATCCCACAGCACCACACCAGGACTCCAATGATTGTTGTTGTTAAGTGCCGTCAAGTTTGCTCTGGCCCATAGTGACCCTGTATAGGGTTTGTGAGGAGTGCTGGTAGATTTGAACTGCCGCCAGATTTGAACTGCTGCCCTTGAGGTTCAAACTGACCTTGTGGTCGAGTACTTACCTACATCGCCCACTAGGACTCCCAATGACTGGTTGTTGTTGTTGTTAAGAGCCGTTGAGTCGGTTCCGACCCATAGTGACCCTGAATAGGGTTTCCAAGGAGAGGCTGGTGTGCTTGAACCACGGACCTTGTGGTTCAAGCTGACTTTGCCATCCAGCGCATTAACCCACAATTGAGAACACTTTTTAGTAGCCCAAAGTGGCTTTAAAGCCTCACCCCAAGTTGTAGATCCATGGACACCCCCTGACCTGACTGGAGGAGCAGGAGGAGCGAATCTGAGGCATTCCTTATCTTGGAAGTGGGATGATGGCTCCAGGGTGCCCGCCATCACCTTTCCTGTGAGATGCAGCTAAGGAATTTGGGTGTGGGGAGGAAATGAAGCCAGGTGTCTAAAAAAATTATTAAATCTCTGCCAGTCACTACCTCTGGCTTAAAGCCTATAGAGCTTAAAGGTTACTGGTGCCATTGAAGTTAATCCCCAAGAAGCAGGGTGGATTATCCAATAAGCAAGGTAAGCATGGGTTTACTTACTAATCTGCTGTCAACAGTTTCATTAACTTCTTATTATAAGAAACCTGTGCAGATTTTCCATGTGAAATTGTTGACTACAGGTTTGTAAATAAGCACAAGTAAGCCCGTGTTTACCTTGCTTACAGAATATTCCATCCCTGTCAAGAATTGTATATGAGTATTTGGAAAAAGGCTTTGATTCTGTAGGCAGCTGCTGTGGTTTTGGGAGAGGGAGACCAACGCCAGTCGTACCTAGAAGCAGAATCTTTGATATGGTGAAAAAACATGAAATTGTTCATTATTGGTTAGTAAGTAAGCACAAGTAAGCCCATGCTTCCCTTGTATATTGAGTCATGAAACATTGTGAAGAAGAGAGAAACAAGTCTACCTTACTGGAGTGCTCTGCTGGAAAATTGACAGGAACGATGAGGACGCCAGTGCTCAACATGGGGACTCAGCAAAGGACAGATGCAGGGAGCCAGAGGAGGAGGGTGAGGGGCAGGAGTTATAGCCACCTGTGGTTTGCTGTGGCCTCACTGTTTCTTAAGGTTCTCTGTGGAGAATGGAGAGTTGAATCCTCCAGATCGAGAAACTGGCCCCTGTAGGTAGCACTGGTGGGTCTTGGGCATCTGTGCAGAACAGATCAGTGGTTGGTGTGAGTTGAGACTGCCTGACCACACACAGACTTAGAGAGGTGGGAATGGTTGTTGTTGTTGTCGTTAAGTGCTGTCGAGTTGATTCTGATCCATAGCGACCCTGTCTAGGGCTTCCAAGGAGCAGCTAGTGAGACTGAACCACTGACCTTGCAGTTCAAACAACTTCGCAGTCTGGCGCATTAGCCCACAATGCCACACTAGGTATCCTGGGAATGGTTGTTGTTGTTGTTGTTAAGTGCCGTTGAGTTGGTTCTGACCCATAGCGACTCTGTACAGGGTTTCCGAGGCTGTAAATCTTGACGGGAGCAGAAAGCCTCATCTTTCTCCCACAAAACAGTTGGTAGTTTCAAACTGCTGACCTTAAGGTTCGCAGGGAATAATTGGGAGGATGCAAATCAGAGATAACCCAGCCACTGTCTCCCAGCCATGTAATACCAAATATCCACCGCTCAAGTGCTATGCTCCCTCAGGGTGGGCAAAGAGGCAGATTAGATGTTATTTAGGGTGAGTCAAACCTGGGCTCAGAGCCTTCTGGGTGGCAGGAGCCCGAGCACATGGTACTTCTGTGGGTTGTTCATCGGAGCCGCCATAGTGCATACACTGGATGAGTGGCACCACACTGAGTCTCTGTGAGTTCTCACCTTGCTGGGGGGTCTCCTGTTGCATCATTCCCTGGTACAGGCAATGCTCTTTGCTGATGCCACGTCCTTCCTGGCTTCTTTCTAATGGCCTACTCCACATAGGCTTTTCCTGCTAGGGCCATATAACCCATGTGGTGCTCTTGGGCAGGATCTTTTTCACAACAATGCTCTCTACCTTCCTTGGGGTCAGCCCATGGAGAAAATGTACCTTTGTCCTGCCAGACTCTTGGACGTACTTCAGATAGAAGGGGCTTATTGTAGGGAGCCTGTGCAGGCACCCAGAAGAGCAGGAACCTGAGGTACTCTTGGATCCCAGCAGTGCCAGAGTCCTCCACAATGGAGTCTGGGGATACCCCCTAGTATTCAGTTCCCAAAAGAACTCAGCCATGCCCTGATATACTACCTCTTTTCTTCCTGCCACCTACCCTCTGCTCATCCCCTCAGAGTTGCTCATTTGGTTTCTTTGCATCCCTTTCCAGTTCATGTATAGTCTAATGTGACCTCTCCAGCATCTTCATCACTTTGACCTTCCACCTGCTGTACCCACAGATTGCTGTAACAGCTAGTCTGATGTTCCTGGAATTTCCTAACTCAAACCCTAAGACAGCACAGACTGAGCTTCTAGTGTCTGTAGACACCAGAGACCACTGGTGTTCCTCCACAAGTCATGTGTCCACTTCCTGTCTAGAAGGCCTGGAGAATGGGTGCTGGGCAGCAGTTTCACCTGCTTTACAACAGGGCCACCCTCCCTGAGATCTCTGGATGGCAGATCCAAACTGACATGTTAGGTGGGCGACAGTTCCTTGGTCCTCATGCAGGTCCTGGCTTTCTCCACTCATTGTTCAGTCCCATCCCTGAAGGGGCTGTTCCACTAAATCCACCCTTGCGGTTGTGGTCTACCCTTCCTGTGATCCCAACAGCAGTGGTGACAAAGGCTGTTTGGTTCCCAGAGAGCTGTTCTGCATCCACAATACCTGGGAAGAAGCCTCAACACAAATTGGGGTGAGGGATGTGCACAGCTGAGGGCTCGTGCAGTGGAGCAGAGAGGTCGGGCAAAGGAATGAGCAAGCAGTACTCACTTGGTTGGTATTTATCTTCAGGAGGCCTCTGCCTGCTGGCAGCTCACCGTGAAGGTCCTGGAGGCACGGAACTTGCCCTGGGCTGACCTGTGTGAGTACCGGCTTTCTGGGCTCCAGGAGGGACAAAGGGGTGACCAAACCCTATGGTAGGTAAAGGGCCAGACAAGTGCTTGGGACTGGCCTGGGTTGCCTGTGGGGCCACTGGAGTCTTGGCAGGAAGCTGGAGAGAAAGGGGTCTGGAGAATTCTCTCTCACCATTGTTTTCCTGACTGGCAGTGAGCCAGGCAGACCCGTATGTGATCCTGCAGCTGCCAACTATACCTGGAACAAAGGTTAAGACCAAGACAGTCACCAACTCTAATCACCCTGTATGGAATGAGACCTTCACCTTCCGAATCCAGAGTCAGGTCAAGGTAAAGTCCAGAGTATCCCAACCACCCACCTGAGGACAGATCATACCCCTCACAGAAAGGACTCATGGTCCTTTCCTCCAGAGCTCAGTCAGAGAAAGGCTGGGGAGGAGGGTATCTGGCCTTTATGTACTATGAAATAATGTGTGAATGAATGTAATGGTCCTTCCACCACCTGCCTGTGTGGTCCTCTTATGGACAGTTGCTTCCTCCATACGTCCATCTATCAGTATTCAGAGTCTCCTCTTAACGGGGTTGTTGTGAGATTAAATGAGAAAATTCACGGAAGACTCAGTGTTTGGTGTCAGAGAAACATCTAAAGTACGGGAGTCATGACATGTGCCCTGGCTGCCACTTGAGATATGTGTGTGTCGGTGGGGTCTGCCAATGAGCTGTTTCTATTTGCCACTGTAGTTTCCATCACCAGCTGTGAGAAATCATTCAGTAAACTAAAACTAATTGCATATGCTCTATTTTCTGCAGATGCACTAACTGTTGTTGATACACACCTCTGTCTGGCACATAGAATGCATTAGGGGATCAGCAAAACCTGGGAGAGGGAGAGAGGTTGGGTAATTTTTTGAAAGAATTTAAATTTTGATTTAAAAAATTTGCAGGAGGAATTCAGGAACTTTGCCAGAATTTCCTTATGCATCATTAAAGTTTTACAGTTCTTTAAAATTTGAAGTACAAGGGGATAGAGGCTTCTTTCCAGCTCTGGGCATCAAGTGGGGTTAAACAGATATGTATTATTGTTACTTTGAGTAGATAATGTGCTAAGTTACTGTTCTTGGGTCTCTAGAATGTTCTGGAGCTGAGCATCTATGACGAAGACTTCGTTAAAGAGGATGATCTCCTCTCTGAGTTTCTCTTTGATGTCTCAGAAGTCCTTGCTGGCAAGCTGCTCCGGAAGACCTTCTCCCAGAGTTCCCAGGTGGGTGGGGAAGTTCCTGTGGGTCCCACATCTCCTAGCTCACAGATAAGGAAGTTGCTCAGTTTCTTCTGTTTGTTGTCCTGCTGCTGGGTCTAACTCATTCACAGGAAGATGGAAACTCCTTCCAGAGAGAATTGATTTTAATAGGATGGGAAAAGACTTGACTTTATTGTTATAGACTGAATCACTCAGTGGAGGAATTTTTGTTATCTGTGTAGGAAAGGTTTTGGGTAGTGGAGAACTTCCTAATGCCTCTCAAAACACAGCTTACTGTAACCAACCCTTGGAGTCATTGTGGGTTCCACAGCTCCTGACCACCACGTCTGGTCCTGATCTGGGCTCTGTGACTCCTGTAGAGTTGGGTGGGTTGAGCTCAAGAGGAAGATGAAATGGATGCTGATCATGCTGAAGTCCCCTAAGCCTGTGCTTCTTCCCACTCACCTTAGTGAATCTTTAAGTTTTTTCAAAGTCTGTTTTATTAGCATGATTTCCTTTCACATTTGTAGAAATAAATGATATTTTTAATATAAAATCTACAAAACACTAATAGGAAGGAGTAGAAAGCAGATCTATTTATAGATCCAAATCAGAGATCCATCTTAACCCCCTATGGGGGTTTTCTACAGTTTAAATTAAAAATTTTCTGTTTGGTTATCATTGTTTGGGGTCCTGATGTGATGCTATAGGATAAACACTGAACTGTTGACTGTAAGGTCAGTGGTTCAAACCCACCTTGGAAATCCTATTGTTGTGTCAAGTACCGTCCAGTAGGTTCCGATTCATAGCGACCCTGCACAGGGTTTCCGAGACTTTAAATCTTTTCAGGAACAGGAAGTCTCATCTTTCTCCCATGGAGCAGCTGGTGGGACCAAACCTTGTGGTTCCCAGTCCAGTGTTTATACAAGAGAGGGTTACTATGAGTCCAAACTGACTCAACAGCACTTAACAATCAACATTTTCATGTAATTCAATATATTGTGAATTTGTTAACACATTTATTTCAAATTATAATTTACCGTCATTGTATTATTATTATTTTATTGTAATTTGGGTGAAATAATTACACTGCATATTTTGTTTTGTAACATTAATTGTAATTCCCTGCTTTCTCCCTGGGTTTCCCATTTCTATTTGCCCTTCTTTCCTGCCCCTTCCTGCTCTCTGAGCTTTTGTTTTTGGGCAATGCTGCCTTTTGATCTAATGTGGCTGATTATTCTGAGGAGTACATTTCTCACAAGTGTTATTGTTATTGTTCACTTTATAGACCCGTCTGTTGTTTGGCTGTAAGAAGATAGCTAAGGGTGGGTTAAGTTCCAGGTTTGAAGCGTTTTCTCCCATTCTGTCCAGGGTCTTCTGTAGTTCTGACCAGAGGGATCAGTAGTGGTAGCTAGGCACCATCTAGTTCTTCTGATCTCATGATAGTGGAGACTGTGGTTCAAGTGGTACATTTGTCCTTTCGGCTAATTGTTCCCTGGAGGGTTTGTTTTGTTTTGTTTTGTTTTTAAATTTCTTCACTTCCTTCCTTCACATGGGGAGTGACTAATAGTTGCATCTTACATGGCCACTTGCTAGCTTCTAAGACCCTACTCTCAGCCTGTACTCTTGACTTTCCTTCAGCCTTGCTCCAAGTTTTAAGACTCAGAAGATCTGTCCTCTGAAGATGTATGAGATGTAGGGTGACTTGGGTAGGTGGCTCTCTTCTTTTCCTAGACTTCAGTTTCCTCATTTGTGAAATGGAAATAATTACAATACAATGTCTGCTTTAAAGTCTGCTTGAGATAATATGATAATCCAAACGTCAACTCCTAAGATACATGCAAATGTTGATGACTTGTTTATCTACTTTGATGTCAGGTGGAGCTGGATGTGGAGTTTCTGCTGGAGAAAACGTGAGTACTCTCACATGGTTAAGGAATGTATGGGGACTGGGATCTCCTTAGGGAGCGAGAGCTCTGGCCCTGATCTAGAGCTCCCTGTTGATTGTGGTTGATGTTGTTATGTGCTGTGGAGTCGGTTCGAACTCATAGCGACCCTGTACAGGGTTTCTGAGGCCATAAATCTTTAAGGGAGCAGAAAGTCTCATCTTTCTCCAATGAAACAGCTGGTAGTTTTGAACTGCTGACCTTGTGGTTCGCAGCCCAATTCGTAACCACTACATCCAGTCAAAATTCACTGTTTGTCATATTCCCACCTCTGCCCGAGTGGTCTGGGCCAGGGAGGAGCTCTACTTCTAGAAACAAGGAGAAGAAAGTGACAGTTTTCTCTGTTCTTTCTCTTCTCCACCTACCCCTCTTTGGAAGCATCTCATGCTCACTCTGAGATTTATTCAGGGCCAAGAAACCCTCAGCATCAGCCAGGGAGACCCCACATGGTCTGGACTGTTGACTGTGAGGGGTGTAGCTCACTGCAGGACACATTTGCCTTTGCAAGACCAGACTCTGGATGGTTTGATTTTTCCAGGTTGGACCACCCAGAAAACCTCATCACCAACAACGTCCTTGTGGTAACCATTTCCTCAGGGGAGCTAAAAGGGAGGGGCCTCAGAGCAGACTGTGGGGTAGAAGGAGTCCAAGGGCAGCAACCTAGGGTGAAGGCGGGAGGGGTGAGACAGACACAGGGATTTGTGTTCAAATCATCCCTGGCCTCCCAGGTGGTCATCCGGGGCTGTGGTGGGGGGCTGTGAGGCTTGGAAGTGCCAGGGCCTAAAGTGAACATGAAGGCTTTGCTGAGAGAACTTCTAGCTGAGGGACTAGTGGAGGATTTAGGTGTTCCTCGGTGATGTTTAGTCGTGTGTGATGAACTCAGTTCTAACACTTCAAGAGTGATGGAGACATCTTGAGAGCCAGTCACACCTTGGGTTTGTGAAGGCTGAGGTTAATGAGGCCCAGGGAGAGTTTCCAGGGCTCTGTGCTTCCATTCCTGGAGATCTGGGATAGAGTCAGGGCCGTGGCGACACTAGGACTAGTGTCACCCAGTGTTGTAACTCAAGGTGTCACTCACTCCCCGTGGGCAGAGCAGTCTGTCTCTGCTGAGTACCCTGCGGTGGGAACCCCGCCCCTTTCCCTCCACCCCTCCACCCCCTGCCTCCAGGGTTCCCTGCAGCTCCTCCCCTGTCTCACTAAGACGGAGACCCTCCTCTCTGTCCAATGGAGGAAAACCTGGCAGGTGGGTGATGGGGTGGGAGGCCCGGGGTGCTGGTGAGTTAACGCTATTGAAGTAATGCCACTGCCTTGGTGGCCTCTCCCTCTTGGGTGCTGGCTGGCCACAGCCACCGCTGTGAACCCTGAGCCAGGTTGGTGTCACCCCCTTTGACAATGTCAGGGACTGCGGTCTGCACCCTCCCTGGGCCTTCTAGTCATGCCACTGACTAGGAGGGTGATCAGTTCCTCTTTGGGACAGTGGAGAGTTTCTGTCAGCCTTCCTAAAACAGGAAAGCTTAACGCATCTGCAGTGAACAAGATGAAGGTGCAGTAAACAAGAATGGCCACTAGGTGGCGGATGCAGTATAGAATAAGCACTGGATTGCTAACCCCAAGGCTGACAGTCACTAACCACTCCTTGGAAACCCTATTCAAGGTCGCTGTGAGTTGGAACCAACTTGATGGCACTTAGCAATAATAACAACTGAAATGGTGTCCTGGTGCTAAAGAATAAGCACTGGACTGCTAATCACAAGGTTGGCAGTTCAAGCCCACCAGCCACTCCTTGGAAACCCCATTGTTGTTGTTAAGTGCCGTCGAGTCGGTTCTGAGGCACGGCTGATGGGTTTGAACCCCTGACCTTGCAGACCAGTGCAGTATCCTGAATGTCACACTTGGAAACACTGTATAGGGTTATTATGAGTTATCACTGACTCGACAGCACTTAACCGCAACAACAACTCACTCTCATGATCACACAAGTGCCTGTTTGATGGGGTAGTGTTACTTTTTCAAATATACATCAAAATAAATTCAGACCTATGGTTGGCCTTGTTAAGTGCTGTTGAGTCCATTCTGACTCATAGTGACCCTATGTAGAGTTTCCATCCTCACAACTGGACCAATAAACAACATCCATAAAAGTGGAGAAAAGACTGAACTTGTTAAAGACTTCATTTTGCTCAAATCAACAATCAACATTCATGGAAGCAGTATTCAAGAAATCAAATGACATATTGCCTTAGGCAAATCTGCGGCACAAGACCGCTTTAAAGGGTTGAACAGCAAAGATGTCAGTTTGAGGACTAAGGTGCACCTGACCCAAGTCATGGTATTTTCAATAACCTCATATGCATGTGAATAAATAAGGAAGACCTTAGAAAAATTGATGCATTTGAGTTGTGGTGTTGGAGGAGAACATTGAAAGTACCATGGGCTGCCAAAAGAACCAATAGATCCATTTTGGAAGAAGTACAGCTAGAGTGCTCCTTGGAAGCCAGAATGACCAAACTTTGTCTCTCATACTTCAGATATATTGTCAGGAGAGACCAGTCCCTGGAGTAGAATATTGTGTTTGGTAAAGTGGAGGGTTGGAGAAAGGGAGTAAGACTTCTAACGAGATGAATTAGCACAATGGCAGAAGCTATGGGTTTCGGCATAGCAACAATTGTGAGGTTGGCTCAGGACCAGGCAGTGTTTCATTCTGCTGTACATAGGGTCACTATGAGTCAGTACCGACTCGATGACACCTAACAACAACAGCATAGGGTTTCCAAGGAACAGCTGGTGGGTTTGAACCCCCAACGTTGTGGTTAACAGTCCAGTGCTTATGCTCCAGTGCCACACCAAGACTCCTCAGACCTATGGTAATCGACACTTATCTGAGGGATGGATTGATAAATTCATCAGTTGAATAGGAGGTCGGAGTCCTCGGGTGGTGAAAACAGCAAATGGCAAAAGATTGGAAGCTTGAGTCCACTCAGAGGTGCCGCAGAAGAAAGACCTGGAGATCTAGTTCTGAAAAAGCAGCCATTGAAAACCCTGTGGAGCATTCATAGCTCTACTCAGACACACATGCCTTGACAGCAGCTGGTAACTAGTCCAGGAGAGGGTCCGTAGCAAGAGTCCGGTGGGCTGTGGTACCACTGAAAGATGCTGTGTGCTTTACAAGAGCAGAAAGTACAAAGGAAGGGTATGTCAGTGAAGCAGAGGGCACTTAGGAGATATCCTAGTGTGCCGTGGAGTTGATTCCAGCTCATAGCAACCATGCATAAGGTTTCTGAGGCTGTAAATCCTTCTGGGAGTAGAAGAACTCCTAGGAGACATCCTAGTAACTGAAATGCGGACTATTTCTCTAACACCCATTCCATCATCCTGTAAAAAACAGCAGTTTGCTTAGCATTATTAGATCCTCCAAATCTAGGCTACAAGAAAAACGTAGGAAGGAAAGAAGTGGGCCTGAAAGATGGAGTTTTTGAGAGGTCCCAGAACTTTGGCAAAGCCAGCAGGGCTCCAGGATTGGTGGAGCTAGGCTCTCCTGGTTGCTCCAGAGCATCTGAGTTAGCCTTCCAATTGCACTGATCAGAGATGGACTGTGAGGTTTCTGTATCTTATACCACTCTGAGGCCCACTTCTTGTTCAGTGTGTGGTGGCTTTGAAACAGTGGTGGGTTTGAAACAGAGGGTTGAGGTTGAGGGACCTCAGTGTGCCCAGCAGAGCCCTCTGCCCATGATGTGGTCTGCCCCAGGCCAGAGAGCTGTCCTGCCTGAATGTGCATCTGGACAGCCTGGAGAGCGCCACGGTGGCCCCAGGTGAGACCTATTCAGGACTAGCTTTGGGTTCTGCCTGAAACCTGTGGGCCAGAGTGGGAGGATATATGAGGGTAGGGGTGGGAGCCCTATGGGGATTGTGGGACCCAGCAGGCTGGGGAGGGTTTCTTTTCAGAATCTGGCCTCAGCTATGTCAGGGTCTGAGCTGAGACTCGCACTCTTGTTCCCCTCACATTAACAAACACTGCAACTCTCTTACCTGATCTGCCCACTCCCTCCCCCAGATCAGAACAAACTGCAGCTGGAGCTGGTGCTGAAGGGGTCATATGAGGAAACACAGACACTGACCCTGGGCATGTCCTCAGCCATCCGCTTCCACTACATGGCAGCCCAGGAGACAGAGTTGAGTGGGTGCCTGCAGGTAAATCTGCTCTAGATCTCTCCTACCCACCCAACCTTTGGCCAACTCTAGCATCATCAGTTGCTGCAGACACTCCTTCCGCCCCCTCTCCCTCCATCTCCATGACTTTCCTCCTGGCAAGACCCAGTCCCCTGTGGTCCTGTTGGCATCTCCCAGTTAGGTTCCACTCCCTTGGCAGCAGATATCAAGGATTCTAAGTGGGCTGCTACAGCCATGGTAGTCTTTATGTGCTTCAATGGTTGTCCCAGTAATGCTCTTAGACTACATCTAATGTCTGTGGACTGGCCCCTGCCCACCTCTGTTGCTTCATTTTGTTTCATGTTTTACCTCATTCATGATGTTCCAGCCACACTTCTCTCTTCTAGCTTTTCTAACATACCAAGCACTTTCCCTGCCCTCCTCTTGTTCTTCCAAGGATGCTTCCTCTTCCTCCTTCACATTTTAAATCAAAAGCACCTTTTCAGAGAGGCCTACCTTGATTCCCGTCCCCAATCTAAATAGACCCAATATAATACGTACTTCCTACTCTCTCATAATACATTGCTTATTGCCTCTATACCACTTATAAATGAAGCATATAGGCTAACGTTTGTTATTCATCTAGTCCTCTATAAATGAATATGGGCAATTTAGTTAAAATAATGCTTTTATACTAGATAAATGCACAATTATTATTTTTGTGATTATTAGTGAATATCAGGAGGAACAGTGTATGGATCACTAGATCTATGTGGATTCATTGAATAGATGGATGAATGAATGAATATTTTCTTCCAGAGCTCCTCAGGCAATGGCTGGAACTCGGACAACTCATCTGAGCACCTCAATGTGCCTCTGAGATCCTTGCCTATGGGGAAGGAGGTGACCATTGATATTCCTGCCCCAAATGTAAGTGGCCCCAGTTGAATGAAAAGGGCAAGGAAGAATGAGGACTGGGGGAATCCAATATCCCCTCATGACATTCTGAGTAGGCTCTCTTACCTTGACTTTAGGCCCCAGGAATGAAGCTAAAGCTCCAGGCAGAGGGCTGGTAAGGGATATCACATCTGTGGGGGCTCGGGGGACTGAGGGTTGTCATATGGAAGGGGAGTACTGTGGCAAAAGATTCGAAGCAGGAAGATCATCTGGCAGCTCACTGTGGGCTTAGCCTGCTTGTGGCAGAGCTGTATCTATTCCCTTGACCCCTGGATCCTTCACTGCTCCAGCCCCAAGGAGCTGGCTGTGCACCTGGGCTTCGACCTGTGTGCAGAGGAACAGACCTTCTTGAGCAGGAGGAAGCAGGTGGTGGCCAAGGCCTTGAAGCAGGCCCTGCAGCTGGAGAGAGACCTGCAGGAAGATGAGGTTTGGGGACCCCTTAAGGGAATGCTTGATACTTATACCCTTTCCAGACCTTCCAGTCAGCAGACTGGGTAGTGGGCATGTGCGGGGAGACATGGGGCTGTGGGTAAGCTTTAAGGTGATTGCTCCCTTTGGATGGGTTCTAGCTTCAATTGTGACTCAGAGGCTTTGACTGTGAAGCCCTGTTCCATGGAGGCAGAGCAGACGTGGCCTTGAGTATGGCAGGGGCAGTGCCATCCTTGTCTTTTGATATGACGATGTGTGCTCCAGGTTCCTGTGGTGGGCATCATGGCTATTGGAGGAGGTACCCGGGCCATGACTTCACTCTATGGCCACCTGTTGGCCCTGCAGAAATTGGGCCTCCTGGACTGTGTGACTTACTTCAGTGGCATCTCGGGCTCTACATGGTGAGGACTCTGGGGACTAGCAGAGATGCCCAGGCCCCATAGATGGGAGGAGTAAATGCTGAAGGGACCTTCTATGGGGGAAGTCAAGTGGATGTGAGCAGTGTGGCCAGATGGGCATTAAGAAGGCTCTTTGTAAAAGCAGGAAACATTTATAGAATTTTGCTATGAGCACGGTGATGCGAGAGGTCCATTCTCAGACATTACTGGAGGGTACGAGGTAACTGATTCACAAAGAACTGGATTTGAGTTTCAGCTCCACACCGTACTGGTTGGGTGACCTTGAGCAATATTTCCTTTGATTGTCAGCTGACTCATCTCCAAAATGGGGAGGAGGATACTGATGACTCCCTGGGATTTGAGTGAGATAGCACAAGTCAAACACTCAACCAAATGCCTGACCCACAAGAGGAACTCCAAGTTGGCAGTTCTTTTCCCTGTAATCCTCACAAACACTCCCTGGGGTAGTTTCTTTTAGTGTTCACACTGCTAGATGACTAAAATTGAGGTTAAGAGATGCTATTTTACCCAAGAACAACATTGCCTCCCTACATTCCCTAACCTACTTACGGAAGTTTTCATTGTTAGAGATTCATTCCTTTGAATCTTACTGAAATATACTTTTCAGGAAGAAGAAATGCTGCTATTAGCTAGCACCTCAGAAGGGTTTAGGTGACAGCTGCTGACAAGTGTATATTAAACGGTAGCCTGAGAAGACAGGAGAAGTAGGGTTGAGAGCTGTGCTATAAATGTGGTAGCCACTGGCCACATGTGCCTACCGAGCACTTGTAATCCAAATTGAGATGTACTATCAACATAAACTATCCAGAGAATTCCGAAGAGTTGGTTTGAAAAAAGGAATGCAATTTATGTCAATAATTTTTATACTGATTATGTCATGAAATGATAATGATAGATGTTGTTAAGTGCCCTCAAGTTGATTCTGACTCATAGTGACCCCATCTAGTGTGTCTGAGACTATACATCTTTATGGAAGCAGAAAGCCTCATCTTCCCCCAGCAGAGTGGCTGGTGGGCTCCAACTGTTGACTTTGTGGTTCACAGTCCAGTGCTTGTGGTACAGAGCCATTGGGATACACTGAGTTAAATAAAATATATTATGAAAGTTGATTTCACTTTTTCTTAACTTTTTTAATGTGGCTACTAGAAAAATTTAAATTATGTATATGGTTGACATTGTATTTATATTGGCTAGGGCTGGTGTAGAAGAAGAGAAACCCTAAGAGACATTTTCAAGATGGCGGGGATGGCTTGGTGGGAGGAGGCATATATTGGGAGAAGCTGGAGGGTGGTAAGGAGGAGTTACAGTGACCTGTCCTTGGCCCCAGCCTCATACTGTCCTTGTTCCCCTGCTCCCCCAGGACAATGGCCCACTTGTATGGGGACCCTGAGTGGTCACAGCAGGACCTTGAGGGACCCATTCAACATGCCCGGGAGCGCATGGCCAAGAGCAAGCTGGAGGCCTTCTCTCCAGAGCGCCTGAGGAGCTACCACCAGGAGCTGCAGCTGCGCATTGAGCAGGGCTACACCACCACCTTTGTGGACCTGTGGGCCCTCGTGCTGGAGAACATGCTGCATGGGCAGGTACACAGTGCACCCTGGGATGGAGCCTGGGAGGAGGCTGGAGCACCCACACAGCTGGCAGGGCATGCATATTGCTTGCAGGGTGAGAGTCCAGGGCTGGTTGTTAAAGGATGTGAGAACCACCAGGTGGTAGGCTTTCCCAGGCTATTCTAAGCTATTTGCCATGAATAGAAAACATTTAGATTAACTTGTAAAAAAATCTAACTTTATTAGTATTTTCAATGCTACAGGGAGTCGAAAGAATCTAACCCATCATTACTGGAAATTAAGCCTGCATTTCTTTTTTTAATGGACCATCTTGACTAAAGCCAACATAGTTTCTTGAAATATTTTTATTTGTTAATAAGTCCTTTGTACTCCTTGGGTCTATAGTTTAAGTTCGTGTTTGGCTTTGAAAGTGGTGTTTTAATAACTGATTTTTCTATTAGGTGGCATCAGTGGGGTACTGTAGAGTGGGAGAAATTTGTTTTAACAGTTTTTATGAGGTGCTAGAATATGCAGTTTGATTCTAGGCTATAAAGAAGGCTTTTATTTAATTATGATTTTATCCACCAGTCATAACTTTAAAAAAATGCAAACTTAATTAGTTTTTCCCTGTTCACATAGTAAAAATTGTTACCATTGATTTCTATGCATTCTTAGAAATGGGCAGTCATGTAGTTCTTAAAAATTTTCCCAAGACAAAAGCATTTCAATTTACTATTTCTTTTTTTCTTAATTATTATAACTTACCTCTTATAAGTAACATTCTTTAAAATTTTTTAGATAAAACAGGTATTTATTACTGTTACAGTATACATACTAATCCAAAAGTTATTTTAAAATGCCAGAAAATATATCTTCCATAGTGACAAATTTCAATTTAAATAATAGGAAGGATTAGAGCAATAGTCTATGATATTGCTTTGGTTTTTAGAAAAAGCTGCTTATAAAATGTACCAGTTAGCATCAATGTCTTTAGAATGATCTGTTTAAAACTTAAAAAAAAAAAAAACTTTTGCTGGCAATCAATGAGTTGCTTAAAATCTGCACTACTCAAGGAGAAACACAGTTTTTCTTATTCCTTCCTGAGTTAAGATCTGACACATTGTCTTCAACTTTGAACACAAGATTGTGTATTAGTCCTACTATGCACAATGCTCAAACCACATCAACACATCACCAGCACTCCAATGTTTGAGATGAGACTGAGTGGTCAGAATGGTGCTATAGGTTTGGAAACTAGAGTCCTGCTTGCAATGTAAAAAGTAGTTGCTGTTGACTCAATTCCAACTTATAGTGACCTTGGTTTGTTGTTGTTTTTTTCCAGAACAGAGCTATGCTCCATAGGGTTTTCAACAGCCAATGTTTTTAGAAATAGATCGCCAGTTCTTTCTTCTGAGAGGTCTCTGGATGAACTCAAATCTCTAACCTTTAGGTTAGTAGTCAAGCGGTTTAACCATTTGTGCCTCCCAGGAACTCCGACTATTAAAGGAGTTACTGGGCTAATTAGCTGGACTGCAAGGTCAGTTTGAACTGCAAGGTTGGTGGTTCGAGCTCACCAGCTGCTCCTTGGAAACCCTTGCTATGAGTCGTAACCAATTTGAAGACTCTTAACAACAACAACAACAAAACTCTTTTAGAGTCCTGGTGTGGTGCTGTAGGATAAAGCACTGGACTGCAAAGTCGGTGATGATAGCACTTAACAACAACAATAACTCTTTTAATAGATGGTTGTGATTGTTGTTAAAGTGCCATCGAGTTCATTCTGACTCACAGAGACCTTGTATAGGGTTTCTGAGGAATGGCTAGTGGGTTTGAACCTTGAAGTTAACAGTCTAGTGCTTATCCTACACTGCTGTACCAGGACTCCTTTCCAAAGTCTTTCCCCAGAAGAGAAATTGTGCTACTGTAGTTGAAAGACCTAGTCCCTCATCATACACATCATAATAAGCAAGCAGGATTCCTCTATAAAGATTTTGAGAGGGCAAGTTGCAGATATCAACACATATACTTGCCAACACATATACTCATTCACACTTACAGAACTGATTTTTAGATATAACATCATCAGTGCTATTTGGGGATTCTTCTAACCAGTGTCCCTGAAGCTTATCCTGTTGGGTTTCAAAGAATTTGCTGAGGATCAGGTGACTGTAGTTGGCACATGAGCATTCTCATCAAGTGGTAGAACTGCTGGGCAGAGTTGTGGGAGGGTCTCTTCTCACTGAGTATGCTAGGCGAGAATCCTGGCTGATCATCATAATAATCACCTGGGGATATGAAAATAAAGGCAAATTCCTGATATGCTGATTCTCAAAAGAAATTGAGACTGTAACATGTTTTCTGTTTAACATGATGTCAGTTTGTCATACTGTGGTAGCTTGCATATTTCTGGAAACTGCCACCAGTATTTTAAATAACAGCAAGGTACCCATGGTGGACAGTTTTGAGCTGAGCTTCCAGACTAAGACAGACTAGGAAGAAGGAGAGGCAGACTATTTCTGAATGTTTAGTCACTGAAAACCTTATGACTAGCAGTGCAACACTGTCAGACATAGTACCAGAAGATGAAGACATTTTGAATCATAACAAACTATTGTCAGATATAGTGCTGCCTATGAGGCATTCATTGCAGCTGGGGAAGAGCAGCCTCCTCACAGTAGAGTTGACCATGATGATGCAAATGGAGTAAAGTTCTCTGGACCTTCATTTGCTAATGGGACACAACTCAAAATGAGGAGAAACAGCTGAACACATCCATGAATTATCAGAACATGGAATGTATGAAGAATGAATCTAGGATAATTTGAAGTTATCAAAAATGAAAAGGAACACATACAAATCAATATCCTAGATGTTGTTGTTGTTAGGTTCCATCGAGTTGGTTCTGACTCATAGAGACCTCGTGCATGACAGAATGAAGCACTGTACTGCCCTCACAATCGTTGCTAACTTTAAGCCCATTGCTGCTGTCACTGTGACAGTCCCTCTTGTTGGGGGTCTTCCTCTTTTTCGCTGATCCTCCATTTTACCAATCATGACTGTCCTTCTCCATGGACTGGTCTCTTTTGATAACATGCCCAAAGTATGAGAGATGAAGTCTTGCTATCCTGGCTTCCAAGGAGCATTTTGGCTGTACTTCCTTCAACACAGATTTGTTTGTTCTTCTAGAAATCCATGGTAGTTTTAATATTTTTCTCCAACACCATAACTCAAATGTATCCATTCTTCTATGGTCTGCACTATACACTGTCCAACTTTCACATGCATAGGAAGCTACTGAAAATACCATGGCTAGGATCAGGTGCACGCTGGTCCTCAAGCTGACTTCTTTGCTTTTGAACACTTAAAATAAATCTTGTGCAACAGAGTTACCTAATGCAATATGGTTTTGATTTCTTGACTGCTGAGTTCATATACATGGACTTCTCCAGATGGAATACACCAAAATCAAATTGACTATATCTCAAGAACAGATTTCATGCATTAGACACTAATGACTGAAGACCAGAAGAGTTGTGATCCAAGCAAAATAAAGTCTTTGACAACTTAAATCTTTTCTTCATATATCATGATGTTATTATTGGTCCAGTTGTGAAGATTTTTGTTTTCTTTACCTTGAGGTGCAACCCATACTAAAGGTTGTGGTCTTTGAACTTCATGGGTAGGATTTTAAGTCATCTTTGCTTTCAGCTAGCAAGATTGTATCATCTACTTATTGAATTAGTGAGCTGAAATGGACTGGTATTGGCCATTTTGAATCTGACAATCATTTGGTTTGCTATGCCAGGAACAACAAATAGAAGAGAAAGGGCATAGCATTCATAATAAAAAAGAACATTCCAAGATTTATCTTGAAGTACAATGCTGTTTGTGATAGGATAATATCCATATGCCTAAAAGGAAGACCAGCTAATACCACTATTGTTCAAATTAATGTACCAATCAATAGCCAGGGATGATGAAATTGTAGAATTCTATCAAACTCTTCAGTCTGAAATTGATCAAGCATGCAATCAGATGTATTGTTAATTACTGGTCATTTGAATGCGAAGGCTGGAAACAAAGAGGAAGGATCAGTAGTTGGAAAATATGGGCTTGGTGATAGAAATGATGCTGGAGATTACATGATAGAATTTTGCAAGATCAATGATTTATTCATTGCAAATACTCCTTTTATATAACATAAAAGGCTATTATATACATGGACTTCTTCAGATGGAATACACCAAAATCAAATTGACTGTATCTCAAGAACAGATTTCATACATTACTCACTAATGACTGAAGACCAGAAGAGTTGTGGGATATATCAAGAACATCATACATGAAGAAACCGAAAGTTCATTATAAAGTTAACAAAGAAGGAAAAGACCAATATGGTTGTCAAAAGAGACTCTGAAACTTGCTCTTCAGTTTAGAGATTTAAAGTGAATAGAAGAAAGGAGGAAGTAAAAGAGTTGAACAGAAAAATTTGAAGGGCACCTTGAGAAAATATAGTCAAGTATTAAAATGAAATGTGCAGATACCTAGAGTTAGAAAATCAAAAGGGAAGAACATGCTCAGTATTTCTCAAGCTGAAAGAACTGAAGAAAAAAATTCAAGCCTTGACTTGAAATATTAAAGGATTCTATGGGCAAAATATTGAATGATGCAGAAAGCATCAAAAGAAGGTGGAAGGAATACACAGAGTCACTGTACCAAAAAGAAATATTCAATGTTCAACCATTTCAAGAGGTCGCTTTGATCAATAGCCAATGGTACTGAAGGTAGAAGTCCAAGGTGCATGGAAGGCATTGGCAAATAATGAGGCTCTGGTAATTGGTGGAATACAAATGCAAATCTTTCAACAAACTGATTAAGCACTGGAGGCACTTTCTCATCTATGCCAAGAAATTGAAGACAGCCACCTAGCCAACTGATTGGAAGAGATCCATATATGTGCCCATTCCAAAGAGAAATGTTCCAATAGAACATGGAAATCATTGGGCAATATCATTAATATAACATGCAGGTAAAATATGGCTGAGGATAATTCAAAAACGTCAGCAACAGTACATTGACAGGGAGCTGCCAGAGGTTCAAGCTGGATTCAGACAAGGACGTGGAATAAGGGATATCATTGTTGATGTCAGATGGATCTTGGCTGAAACCATAGATTACCAGAAAAATGCCTACCTGTGCTTTATTGACTATGCAAAGCCTTTTGACTGTGGGATCATGACAAGCTATGGATAACATTGTGGAGAATGAGTATTCCAGAACACTTAATTGTGCTCATGAGGAACCTGTACATAGATCAAGAGGCAAGTCATTCAGACAGAACAAGGGGATACTGAATAGTTTCAAATCAGAAGTGTACATAAAGGTTGTTTTCTTTCACCAGATTTATTCAATCTGTATACTTTGCAAATAATCTGAGTAGCTGGATTATACAAAGCAGAATGTGGCATCAGGATTGGAGGAGGATTCATTAGCAACCTGCAATACGCAGATGATACAACCTTGTTTGATGAAAGTGAAGAGGACTTAAAATACTTAATCATGAATTTAACCTTCAGTATGGGCTGCACCTCAAACTAAAGAAAACAAAAATCCTCACAACTGGATTTTTATCATGTAATAAATAGCATCATGATAAATGGAGTCCTGGGGTGGTGTTACAGCATAATGTGCTGGACTGCAAGGTCAGCTTGAACATCAACATCAGTGGTTCAAACTTACCAGTCACTCTTTGGAAACCCTATACAGGGTTGCTATGGGTTGGAATCAACTCAACGGCACTTAACAACAAATGGAGAAAAGATTGAAATTGTCAAAGAATTTAGTTTGCTTGAATCTGCTATCAACACTCATGGAAGCAGCAGTCAAGAAATCAAATAACAAAGTGCATTAAGGCAAATCTGCTGCACAAGACCTCTTTAAAGTGGTCAAGAGCAAAGATGTCAGTTTGAGGACCAAGATGCTCCTTACCCAAGCCATGGTATTTTCAAAAACCCCATATGCATGTGAAAGTTGTACAATGAATAGGGAAGACTGTAGAATAATTGATGCATTTGAGTTATGGTGTTGGAAAAGAATATTAAAAGTTCCATTGAGTTGCCAGAAGAACAAATAAATCTGTGTTGGAATAAGTATTGCCAGAATGCTCCTTGACAGCAAGGATGGTGAGACGTCGTCTCTCATACTTTGGGCATGTTATCAGAAAGGACCAGTCCCTGGAAAAAGACATCATGCTTGGTGAAGAGGGTAAAGGAAAAAGAGGAAGATGAATTGACACAGTGGCAGCTGCAATGGGCTCAAGCATTACAACAATTGTGTGGATGGCACTCTATTGGGCAGTGTTTTGTTCTTTTGTGCATAGGGTTGCTATGGGTCGGAACCAACTCAATGGCATCTAACAACAACAACAACTAAGAAAATGTGCTGATAATGGCTGGTAGGCAGGTTGGGAACCCCTTAGGCTGAGTAAGGTCATTTCCAGCTTGAAGATTCTAAGGAAGTGATGACACATTCATGAACAATGTGCTGCTCCTTCCTAGGTTCAGCCCAGGACTGATGGCAGCAGCCTCAGTGGTGTCCCAGGCAGCCACCGCATTAACTTGCTGATGCCTGAGATGAGCCCTGTTTATAAAAGGCCCAGGATCTAATGGGCCTTTTCTGTGCTCTCATAACTTGGTGGGAGTCCCTGGTTGGTGCAAATGGTCCTGCTAACCAAAAGACTAGTGGTTCAGGTTCACCTAGAGGCACCCTGGAAGAAAGGCCAACAATCAACTTCCCAAAAATCAACCACTGGAAACTGTTATGGGTTGAATTATGTCCCCCAAAATATGTATTGTCAGTCCTAACAGTTATGCCTGTGATTGGGAATGGGTTGTCTTTGTATGTTAATGAGGTAGGATTAGTGTAGAGTCTATCTTGATTCAATCTCTTTTGAAATACAACAGAGATTAAGCAAGCAAGCAGAGAAGAGATGGGGTAAGCTAGATGCTAAGACACATGGAGATCTACAAGGAACCAGGAAGCAGGATCTGAAGAGACAAGAATCTTCTTCTAGAGCCATTAGAGATAGAAAGCCTTCCCCCTAAAACCGGAGCTCAGAATTTGAACTTCTAGACCCTAAACTGTGGGGAAGTAAATTTCTGCTTGTTAAAGCCACCCACTTGTGGTATTTCTGCTATAGCAACACTAAATGACTAAGTTGGAAATCCTTTGGAACAAAGTTCTACTCTGACACACACAGGGTCGCCATGAGTCAGAGATGACTTCATCAAAACCAGAGACAACTAGGTGAGGCTCTGTTGAAGCTCTCCAAAAGAGGCAACCCACAGTCCTAGCCATCAAAGAACTGCAGTTTTGTTGCAGAGAAATTAAGGAACAGAAGGCCAGAATAAATAAACTCATTTTGTGTGAAGCAGGAAAAAAGCAGGAGGATGAGGAGAGAGAAGGATATTAGGAAAGTATCTGGGAGGGATTAGAACTTGAACTGCATCAAGGTGAATCCAGAATGGGCAGTTTATCACCTGGCATGGCTTACAGAGGAGGCTACATGGGACTCCCTGTGTTTTCTGGCATGTGGTACACTTGTGTGTCTGTCTGTCAATGTCCACCTCCATTCCGCTGCTTGACCCATAAAGATGGGGCCATGGAACCCAGGATGTGGGAAGCAGGGCCACAGGTGGCATTGTAGTCCTTGTGGTTGTGTCCTGGAGAAAAGCAGCAGTCATACATGGTATCATGGGGTGGGGTGGAAACTAAATATGCAATCCCACCCATGCCCCCCAAACCCCTCTCAGTGGAGAGGAGGCTCTGTTGAGCTGCCTCCTCACCCACAGCCCGGGCCCCCACTTGCCCCTGCCTGGGGAAGTTGCCACCTCAGAGGTGCTTCAGACACACTCAATTCCTCATGCCTCCCACTCTAGGAGATGCATCAGACACTGTCAGGACAAAGAGCAGCACTGGAGCGGGGCCAGAACCCTCTGCCACTCTATTTGAGCCTCAATGTTAAAGAAAACAAGCTGGAGACGCTGGACTTCAAGGGTATAGTCCTGACCTCTCTACCCCCAAAACACTCAAATCCTCTGGATGCTGAGAGTCCACAGAAAATTCAGACATAAAGTTCCTTTCCAGATGGCTCAACCTTCAGGAAGGGTGGTGGTTCCAACGGGCTCAGAAGGGAGTAGGGGGGCTCTGTCCTGGGGTGGAAGTGAAGATGATATGGACAAGGTACTGGGTTGGGGAGTGGTCAGTCCAGGAGTCTGCATTTGTCACATCTGCTGAATCGATGCCCACATATACTCGACAAGAGGGAGGCTGAGACCTCCTCCTCATATTGCTGACTGTTCCTTCCACCCCATTAGAGTGGGTTGAGTTCTCCCCCTACGAGATTGGGTTCCTGAAATATGGAGCCTTCATCCCTTCTGAGCTCTTGGGCTCTGACTTCTTTATGGGGCGGCTGATGCGGAAGCTTCCTGAGTCCCGGATCTGCTTTCTGGAAGGTGAGGAGGGTCATTCAGAATGCCTCTTTGCCTGGACATGACTCTTGTAGCTCAGATCTGGGCTGAGGCCTAAGGTGAGGGGAGGGGGCTGGGCTGTAGGGAAAGCCATTGCAGGTCCCACCACCATCCAAAGTTTGGACCACTGGCTTTCAGGTCGGGGCTGAGTACCTGACCTCTTGGGGTTTGGCCTTCAGCTATCTGGAGCAACATTTTCTCCCTGAACTTGCTGGATTTCTGGTATGGTCTCACCAGCTCTGGGGAAGCCTGGAAACAACACATCAAGGACAAGATGAGGAATGTAGGTAGGAAAGGGGCACTGACAGGAACCTGGGATGAGGCCTCGTCCCCTTAAGATGCTGTTAGAGGGTGGTCTGTGAGAGGGGAATAAGGGCCAGGAGCCAGGCACTGTCAGGCCTGTGAAGGAGCAATATCTCTTTCTCAGTCACAGATAAGGAGCACCCCGCCTCCTCAGGGACCTCCTCATACCTAGACGCCTTGTGGCTGCAGCCTGGAACGGCCCTGGCCCAGGCTTTCAAGGGCTTCCTGATAAACAGGCCACTCCACCAGCAAAGCTCCAACTTCCTCCATGGCCTCCAGCTGCACCAGGACTACCGAAGCCAGAAAGAGTTCTCTACCTGGTCAGGTAAGGCCCTTGGTCATGTGCTCCCAGATAATAAGACTGGGTCCCTGAGTAGGGATAGTCCAAGGCTATAGACTTTCAAATGCCTTGGAGATCCACTGCTGGGATGTGTCCTAGAGAAGAGTCCATTGGAAAGTCTTGGGGAAGGATGGCTAGCAGTGATTATTGTCAGAGTCAAGAAGGGGACAAGGAAGCAATTGTGGTGTGGAGAGGCATGGTGGCTGCCTCTGACTGGTTGCCTCCTCTGCCAGACTGCCATCTGGACTGCACCCCCAACCAGCTGACCCCCCAGGAGCCCCAGCTCTGCCTGGTAGACACCGGCTACTTCATCAACACTAGCTGCCCGTCCATGTTCCGATCAGGCCGCAAGCTGGACCTCATCCTTTCCTTTGACTACTCCTTGTCCTCACCCTTTGAGGTGCCTCTGACTTCCCCAAAGTTGCTATGGGAATCCCAGACCCTCTGCCCAGCCAGGTCAAGCTTGAGGGGCAGGCAGTAGAGCCACTGATTCACTTGCCCAGACCTCCTCTGTCCCCAAGGGGATGGGAGGGTGACAGACTCCTGCCAGGGCCTTCTGTTAGTTGGGACCCTGGGATCCAGGACAGGTGAACAGGGGAACCTCAACCTCCCCCTCACCCCCAAGAAGAGCAGCCTGGGCAGACTCTGGGCATCTCTACCCTCACTCCCAGGCCCACTTTGGGACTCTGTGGAAGATAGAGCTGTAATGCAGAAGTGGCCCCCCTACTGAAGTCCTAGGATTGTCAGACTTGAATAATCCAACAACAGCAATAAAAATGGGGGTGCTGGATCTATACCTCACCAAAAGATTTTAATGAAAAAAATATCCTTAGACTCCTTTCAAGTCCCAAACAAACTGGGATGTGGCCTTAACCCCAAGGGAGCCAGTGTGAGCTAGAATTTTCTCAAGGCCTGATTTGGGGTGACTCAGAAACAGCTAGGTTCTCGCTGGGCCACCCTCTCCCCCAGGTACTGCAGCAGACTGAGTTGTACTGCCAGGGCCAGGGACTGCCCTTTCCAAGCGTGAAGCTGAGCCCTCAGGACCTCCACCAGCCCAAGGAGTGCCACATCTTCTCTGACCCCAGCTGCCCTGAGGCACCTGTCCTGCTACACTTCCCACTGGTCAACGCCTCCTTCAAGGACTACTCAGCCCCTGGTGAGGTAGCCCCTCCACTCCCTCTTAGCTAGGTAGCCTGGTCCTTGGTCCCTCCCAGCAGCCTCTGCCACTGAGCAAAGGGTAGAGAGGCTGAGCAGGGCAAGGCCTAGGGCCAGTCCTATTCAGTCTTGGACATGGTTCCCTGACCCCTGCTGCTAGTGGGCATGCTCACTGTGCTTGTGTTCTCCTTTAGATCCCCTCTGCCCTCAGTCCCTGTAGCTGCATGTGGGTTCCTCTGTTCTGTGAGCGGTGTTTCAGACACCCTGAATCCAGAGGCCCAGTCTAAAGTCATTTCCACCACGTTGAAGTCACCAGGTTGGAGGCTGACTTCATCAGGGTTCTCCAGGCTCAACAGGCAGAGAAGGGAGACTCTTGTCCCCTCTAGCTCAGATTCCCTAAAGCTCCCTTCTCCAACCCAGGCTGAGGCCTCTTCTTAGGCCAAAGGCTCCCCAAATCTTAACTCTCACCTGTTCCTTCCAATCCCCACCTTTCATCAACTGGTCAGACTTCTGCCTCGTTATGGGGAGAGAAATAAATGTCTGCCCTTGAGCATTATTCCAAGCTTCCTGGTTTCTACCACCATCCTGAATCCTTCAGGTTGGCACACATACTTAGAATCCTAAATAACGTTTTCTCTTTCAACAAAGACTTGTTCTTAAAAAGCAAAAGCTCTTTGCTTCTCTGATTTTTGTTTTCACCATGAGTTTGAAGTATTCCTTTACACTAACCCAGTTTCCGTCCCTTTTCTGTCTGTCCCCACCTCCCCGTTGAAGCAATGTATTGAGATACTCTGGATTTCCCAAAGAGTGGAAGCTGTGCAGGGAGCAAACTCTTTAACTCTCACAATGTATGGCTAAGCACTAGGTTGCTAATCACAAAGACAGCAGCTTGGCCTGGACATCTGCTTCCCTCAGAATTACAGCCTAGGAAACCTCAATGGGGTAGTTCTACTCTGTCTCATAAAGTCACCATGAGGTAGAATTGATTTGATAACACACAACAACAATAACACACATTTCTATTTCTGGGGTAAAGACACAGAGCTGGGAGAAAGACAAGGATCCCTTTAACCCTGCCCAGCTGTGGAAGCCTCTGTGTCCATCTCCCAACTGCCCTCCCACTCTATGCAGGTGTCCCTCGCAGCCCTGAAGAACTCCAGGCTGGCCAAATGGACCTCACTAGGGCCACCTCACCCTATTCCCTGTTTAATATGACATACAAAGAGGAAGACTTTGACCGCCTGCTGCACCTCAGTGACTACAATGTACGGAACAGCCAGGACACCATCCTGCAGGCCTTGAGGACAGCGCTGAAGCACCGCACCTTGGGGACCAGGCCTCCAGGGGTGCAAACATGAGGCTGCTCCCGCTGCTTCTCCAGGACCTGGGAGTTTAATCCAGTCCACAGCTGGACTCAACAGGGCCTCTCTGGACTGGAGTTTCCCAGCATTTCTAAGCCCAGGCCGACACTGCTGCTGGTCTGACTGCCGAGACATAGTGTCCCTCCTAGGGTTCTTCCTTACATTGTGACTGGTCTGAGAGGAATCAGCAGTAACTCGTGGCCCTGCCAGTGTGTGGTGCAGGTAGTCAGACTGAACAACTATTCACACTTACTGCTTCCCATGCCTGAGCAGAATGCTGCAGGGCCAGACAGCAAGGACAGGGACTACCTGACCTGAGAGGAGGTAGCAATCATCAGCAATTACAGCTTGTCCTATACACACTCACCTCATGAAAGACATGCATACTTGCACACACACACACACACACACATTTACATATGTGTGTGTACACACACTCACAACTATGGCTGTCCTGGCCTCAGTTGGGTGTCATACACAGAGTATCAGGGCAAATGACCTCTTCAATGGTTCCCTCTCTACTCTCCTTCTTATGTATTTGACTTTATTTGAATTCTCAATTTCCCCCCATTTTATTGCAAATTCTTATTTTTTAAATAATGATGATGATGTCTCCTGGCTATTGAATTTTATTTTGTTACAAGCATTTTACATCATTTCCCTTAACCCTCATAACTGCCTAATGTGCTTGGTCAAATTTTTTATAACCATTTTATCCAACGCTGAAACTCAGGATTGAGAAAGAAAAAGGCAGCTGGGAACTGACGTGGTGTCAGTGCTGGGCCACAGTGCCCTCCTGATGAACACAGACAGCTTCCCAGAACACCAGCCTCAGAATCACTCAGGGATTGTGTCTGGGTCCATACACACACAAGAAAGGACCAAAGACTTGTACTTGCTTAAACTCGCTATACTCAAAATTGGCAAAACTAGAACCTAAAGCCTTTAAAAATCAATTTCCAGGCTTCTAGCCATCACACTACCCTGCCTCTGTTGACACTTGCTTTGTACTCTGGAGAGTGAGGGCTGTGCACGTAGAAAAAACGACTCTGCACTAAGATTTCTCAGTAAAGCCAGAGAGTGAGTGAGTGGAAATGAATCCCATCTATTCCCCAGTGTGGGCTGGGCTAAGGCTCATGGCAGTGCCTGGTGTGTGAGTGTTCATGTATGCATGTGAGTGTGTTTGTCTTACCTTTCCCCCCAGTTGACAAGATGCTGTTAAACCCCAGGCACTTTAGGATGCCAAGGATCAAGAGATTCCATCAGTCCCACTCTGATCTGGATAAGAACTGAAACTTAACACCAGAAGTTTCCCTTGTGGATTACACAGGGTTCTTCCTGTCCTTCCCCAGGCCACATCCAGAGCCAGGGGCAAAGGCAGGAAGGCTAGGCAGGCTGACTCATCACCAGAACTGAGCTGATATTCTGACTTTGTTCAACTCACATGGTGGCAGTGGGACTGGCAAGCAAAGAATACACCTGAGAGATACTTCCTTTTACTGATTAAGTTTATCTCAACAATGCAAGAAAGGTTTATTTATTTATTCATTTTTAATTTAAGGTTTTTATTGTGGATTGAGTGAAAGTTTACAGGGCATATCATCAGTTTTACATTCAACAAATCATATACCTTGTTTCATTACATTGATTATAATCCCCTTCATGTACCATCAGTTAACCGTATTTCTCTCTATCCACTTTAGCTTTTTAAAAAACAAACAAAAAAACCCACTCAGGCATATATAATAATTTACATCTCCACAGAGCATATTCTGCAAATTGGCTCCTGGCCACTAGCTCTTAGTCCTTCTCTTCTTAGTCCATGAATCTAGAGTCCTCAGCCACTCCCCCACTCATTTTGGTAGTTTTTATGCTTTCTGATTGCCTCCAGGTAGATGTGATCAGGAAATGGGCCTCCCTTTTTGCTCTTCTTCTTGAGAAATTTCAAGATGCCACTGTTGGTCATTTTGGTGTAATTTAGGATTTAAGTTTTGGCCTATTTCCTTTTTGTCTGCTTGTCCTGCTCCACAATCCCTGTTCAGGCCTTTTTTCTAGTTGGAAACAGTTCAGGGCCGGCTGTGGCCATTTGGTTTTAATTGGAAACTGTCTCTTTAAATTTCCAGGAGATCTGTGCGCATGCGTAGTAGAACCCTCCGGGTGGGGCCGGGGTGCTCACTAGCTCAGGCACCCCTATAATCACCAGAATGGAGGTGCGCAGACAGCAAGGGACCAATAAACAGATACCAAAAGAAAAGAATGTCCACACCTTTATCTCTGCAGTTCTGCCAGGCGTCTGTGGCCATTCTGATCCTTCCCCAACTTGGTTTCACCCAAGATGGCGGCTCCTGGAGCAGCTGAACGTTCCGAACTAGAAAGCAATGGACTTCTTGCTTCTGCCACAAATTCCCCTAGCTGTAAGCCTTCCAACCTTCTAAATATTCTTTTATATGTGGTTCAGAGTTCTGCGACCATCCCCTGGGCCTGCTTGGTCGGATATTCTGTGTTGTTGCTTGTGGAGCTCTTTACTGCCCTTCCATCTGATCCGCCATCTTGTTTGTTCTCCTCGCAAGAAAGGTTTTATGTTAGAAAATTTTATATATTGTTTTAGCTATTTATAGATAAGATGAGAATAACAACATGAAAGTAATTGCTTGATAAAATTTAATTCAAATTCAGAATTCATGAAATAATGTTAGTAACCCAAGATTTATGAAAAAAACCTTAATAGCTTAGGGATCAAAGAGAATTTACTTAATCTGGTATAGGGTATCCATAAGAAAACAAAACAACTCTGTCATCCCAATTGGAGGAAACATATTTATTTCCTCATGGTTTAGGACTAGTATCAAGTGGCCCACTCTTTCTCGTTCTAGACAGTGGTTTCCTGGAGCTCATCTTGGCTCTGTGGGTCAGGAATTCAGGCAGGACTTAGCTGGTCCTCTGAAATCAAGGTCTTGGCCAGGGCTGTAAGTCATCTCAGGCTCAGCCTCCAAGCTCATTCACACATGCGACCATACAGGATTCAGTTAGTCATGTGCAGTTAGTCTTAGGTGGTCCTCAGCGCCTTGCCTCATGGGCCTCTCTTCACAGGGCAGCTTACAATATGGAAGCTGGCCTCATCAAAGTGAACAAGCAAGAAGCACTAGGAGTCTAAGGAACATTTTAGAAGAAAATGACCAGGTCCTGTGACAGATCAGTCAGTGACTTAAGAAGGTGAGATTCACAGAAGACTGAAGTTTGCAGCCTAAAACTGGTGCATGGGATTAGATGCTTTATAAAGATTCTAGTCTCTGTGGAGGGCTCAGTTTGAGGCGTTTTCCTATAGTAAGCTACATTTGAGAAACCATTTGGTCTGACAAGGGGATATACTCACAGAGGCGATCTCAGTGCCTGGCTGGGATATTCTGGAGGACTGGACACACAAATGCCGATGCCTGAAGTTCTGAAGAGGACCAAGTTCAGCTATGCTTTTAAAATGCGCAAGAGTTGCTAGGAGAATGACAAGACCTCCAGAGCCCACACAAAGCTAAACAAGTCTCCATCACTGTCATTCACAGATAGTAAAACAGATAGCCAAGGATGTGAAATCACGTGACCAAGGCACACAGTGGGCTCAGAGTACATTGAGTTTGGGGTTACCTTGTGGTCACTACTCTTATACAGTGCCCTGTTTCCCTCTGAGAAACCACTCTCATGTGCTCCGACTGACTCCAGGGCAGCTCCAGGGGTGGGGCTTGTGACTTAGACCTGGCCAATCAGAGCAAGGCATGATATTCCTCTGGTCCCTCGTTGCCCCCTTAGGTTTCTATCTAATCTTTGGAGTTGCTTGCTGGCTTCAAGATGGGCAGTTCACAGGCAGAGCTGAATTTTTCTTCTTAGAACCTCAGAGGTAGTGGGGAGAGGCTGTTTGCAAATGGAGGCAGTGTAGAGGTAGTCAGTTCCAAGCTGGAGAAGTACACTGAGCAAAGTCAGCTGTACTGAGTCCAAGATCACATTGGTCTCTTGCCACACTTTAGTCATTCCAGTCAACACGCCCCTCCTCCCTCAACTTTTTATTTTTCTTTTAGCATAACCTTACCTGAGCTGGGCTTTTCTTTAGCTTTGTTTCTTTTTCTAAATTTTATTTATTTTGTTGTTGAGCAGATAACACAGCAAAACATACACCAATTTAAGTTTCTACATGTACATTTAGTATGTCCTAAAGTGAAGACTTACACCCTGTAAAGGTAAAATTAAGAGATTCATTGAAAGTCCAAAGATGGTCAACACAGGGAAGATGTCCAGATTCAGAGTGAAGATAGTGCTTCACTGGACGATAAAGAAGCTAACATCCTTATACAGCTGAAGTGGGAACTGAAACTACACTATGGTTGGCTGGAAGACAATCAGGAGAGTTGAAGGTGGCTATGTGAGGCTTAGCAGGGATGGATGGATAGCATTTAAAGGGATTACATGATTGGTTAAGGATAAATAATTATAAGCATATTTGCTCTTCAGTTAATTATAGAATATTAGCAGGACAAGTTTTCCCAGAATCTGTTACTAAAATTGCTTTTTCAAACACATCTGCTCTTGGGCATATTATATAGAAGATATATTGATAAAGCTGTACTTCAAGAGCCTTTGGATATAGGCTATTGAATCTTGTCTGTGTTAACCATAGAGGAAACCCTCTCTGGGAATAGATTGTGACACCCTGCATCTGCCAGACCATGTTGTTGTTGTTGTTGTTATGTGCCGTGGAGTCGGTTCTGACTCATAGCGACCCTGTACAGGGTTTCCAAGGCTGTAAATCTTTACGGGAGCAGAAAGCCTCATCTTTTTCCCACAGAATAGCTGGTAGTTTCAAACCGCTGACCTTGAGGTTTGCAGCCCGATTCGTAACCACTATGCTACCAGAGCTCCTAGAAAAATGCTTCCTTTAGGGTATATGGTTAGATCAGCACAAAGGTGAGAGAAACTACTGTTAAAAACAACATGGATTCTAGATTCATGTC